CTTCTAAAGGGGTGTTGGAGGTATCCTCAGGTTTAAGAGGTGGGATGTGAGAGTGGCACATCCTGTTACTAATGACATATTAACAGGATAAACCTTTAAGCACTCCAGAGTGAGGTGGAATGAGTCTAACTTTGAAAAAGTCTACATAACACAAACATTTTCTAAATGATTTGTTACTGAAGCTTGTTCCCAAGTCTGTACTCTTTTAAGGTCTTTCTGGACTTTTCAGTTACTTTGGTAAAAGTTTTTTCATCACTGTTAATTGGGAATAATAATTATCTCTTTCAGGAATTAAAATTTCATTAATGTTTTATTTTTCTAATTGTTATCATAATTAGTTCCTGCTTTATCGCCCAACAAGATCCTGTTTATTTTCCATTCTGTGACGTGAGAATTGAAGGCTTTTAGGTATACATGTACATGCATGCACAAGTTGTTTTAGCTAAGGGAGAAGAACAACTCTAAAATTGGGGTGTTTTTGTAATGTTCCATTCCATCTCCATGTATCAAAGACTATTGCTTCTATTCTCCCAGGCCACCACACCCTTAATTGGTCATAATAATCCTGTGGGCTCTCAGCAGTTTGCCAGAAGAGATAGCAGTTTTATTCCTTTTGTTCTTTCATTTGCTGATATTCTGCTTATTGGACTTTTAAAGTAGGGTATTTCCTGATAGAGATTTCAGTTTTAATTAGATTTTCTGACTTTAACTTCTTCTCTACCTCCTCCTCAATGAGTGTGGCAGCCTCAAACAAGGACTGGGGCATCTTAGTTGCTTTAGCAGAAGCACATGCTACTACAAGAGTTTCAGTGCTTTTCTGGAGGGAAATGCATAGCTATTATGACTTCTTTCTCTCTGGGTCTCCCCAGTGTGGCATTTGAAATGATGTAAGAGATAGATCAATGAAAGAGAGAAGAAGACTGAAAGAAAAGAGCAGTGATTTAGAATTAAAGGCTTCAGACTGGATTGAGACTTTTTAACAAAATGATTTTCTCCTATCTATAAATAATTTTGTTTAGAATATACACGATTACACAGCCTGATGTTTATAGCATTAAAAATTACACATTTCTCATCCAAATTTTATAGGTAAGTTATCTTAGGAATTAAATGGCAAATTGCTGTCTTTGAGCATTCTGTTTATGAATCAATTTTGGTAGGAGTCTTATTTATTGTAACTGAAAAAAAATAAGTGCTACTCTGAATTTCTAATGAGATTTCATTTTTTTCTACTTCCCATGCTTCTCTCAAAAAATATATGTACACACAAACACATACATCTACGTAAACAATCATGCATGCCCTTACAAGTCTGCTTATAGTTACATAAACAAAATATGTGACTTTTTTCTTTGGTATGATGTCAGTATTTTGCAGCTACAATTGAGTGAAATCCCCAGCAGCGTGAGGAAGTGATGTCACTTTCTTTATACAAAATGTGCAGACCCTCTCTCTGGTAGCTCTGTTTGCAGTTTCCGTCCTGGTCCATGCAGACATTAGGAAAGTCAAAGGTCTAGATCTCAATGACAGATGTCTTCCTTTTCACCATGATAGTTTCAGTGTGATCACTTTAGATGAATGTGAAGTGACAGTAGGGAGTCCTGGAGCCAACATCTCAAACTTTGCATCACTTCCACCTTAGTAAACAGTGGAATTTTATTTCCCACTGCTTTTCACCTAATAAAATTAGCCTTAGGTTAATATTTTAATCTCTTAATCCCAATAACAAAAGGAAGGAATGGCCCAATTATTGCTTAATTCATCATTGATTATGTCTTTGGTTTTTGTCTTCTTTCTTGCGCTCTTAGACACCTTCCCAGGACCATCTTCTCCAGCCTGCATTATTCAGACACTTGAGTCTGACTGACTTATTGAAGAACATGCCCAGAAATTTGATGCTATAATTACTCCAAGAATAAGCAAACATGTTTACCTCACACCAAAATGCAGTCACCGTTCAAAGTAGAAGCAGTGAGTGGCCTTTGATTAAGCGTTAATTTTTTTTGGGGGGGGTTCATTGTTTAAGTGAACAAATAAATTTTTCATTGCCACATCGACAGTAGCTTGATTTGGTTTTAAGTGAATGCAGCTACATGCCTAAAATGACTGCTTTTAAACAATTAAGTCCTGTCTCCACCTTAACATTTTATCCATTAGTCACTGTTGAACCTTTGTCCTTACTTGTCAGTATCTGAGAAAACATACACTTAGCTCAAGACTTCTATACTTTTTCTCCATCATTGTGATAAGAGTTTCCTTACTTGTGGCCAACCATTTAGAATGGAAACTACGTATCACGGTTGGTGTTGGGAAATCCTATTCTGTAGGATGTGTGACTCCTGTCAAGATGAAAATGGAAAATAGGATTCTGGATGGTTGTCAGTGATGGTTCCCCCTCACCCACCTCAATTGTTTGGATACATACATATTTTAGTTTGGTAATCTTTAAATTCTTCAATTCATTGTCCTGAAAGTTAAATGAGTAAAATATTTCAAGGGGCCTCTATAGTACTGCCTACTTTGTCTTTCATTAAATAAACAAAGTGACAAACTCTGTCTACTTTTGCTGCCATTTCATGAATGAAAGGATCTAGAAATACTGAAAAGGAAAAGTCATAATCTAAGATTAAAGGAGTGTTCTATTGAATCAATCTATTCAGCTTTGTTGAAAATACATTGCTTACTTTTCTTATTTCATACCAGACCTTTGAGAATTCTGTGTTTGAGCTGAACAGGTCTAGGACCTGCTTTGCGACATAGCTCAGTCTTCATTTAGAGCCTGACATTTTGACAGGAAAGACCAGCAGAGATGTGTGTCAGTGTAGGAGTTTTACTTATGTTTTTTCTTCTTATTGGCATGTGGCGATGAGTCCTTTACATTTTAAGAGGTCTCACTTTTAACTTTATGTTCTTTCTCTGGGAAGATAGCTCAGCTGTGCTTGTGGGTTTAACAAGGGTTGCTCGTTTGAAACAGGATAGGCCTTATACTTTATGGAGTAGGCAGTGGTTTATGTGGCATGGTTTGTGGGAGCTAAGAAATCTTGAAAATAATTCTTTCACTTAGTTGCCACACAGCCTAACATCCAAAACATAGAATGTTCATTTCTTTGGATTCCCTGGACTTACCTCCTGTTTCCTCTTATCTAACTATACTCCCCCTTAATTAGTTTTTACCATTCTAAATCCTTAAAATAGCATTGTTAGGCTGACAACCTGTTTTAAAAAGCACCTCGGACTTTTGCTGTTATGCAGATATGATTGAGACCAACGTATCAGGAGACAATCACCATTGAAAGATACTGTATTACTTATAGTTCACACACTTATAGTGTGTGAGGTGTCCTGCTGCACAAGGCAAGGTGGGGAAACAGAGGGGTGGGTAGGATGGTCAAGGGAGTAATTATTGAAAGAGGTAGGGTAGGCAAATAGAACAGACTTAGGTTTGGATAGTTTGAACAGTTTAGGTAGACTCTAGTGGTAGCAGTGATCCCTAGTTTGATACTTGGCTGTGGTCTGATTACGGTGGGAGAATATATGTTTCATGTGTGACAGCCAGATAAGGGAGATAGTTGGCAGGATCAGTTCTGGATTGGTTAGAAAGGTATGTTCACAGGGGGAATCATTTGCTCTATGTAGGAATTAACCTCGGTTTTGGGGGCAGTCTCTCCCTGGTCAATGAAGCCTCCGATGTTAAGAGCATCAAGAATGCAGAAAATAAGAACATATAGTTAATGTGTAATCTCCCATGTTGCATGTGCCTCCCAGTCTGCCCTTTCATGCATATTCATCTATCCAGCTGTCAGCTTGGCATCGTCACTTAGATGCTTGAGAGCATTTCAGAATTAACCTGCCTGAGATGAAATACCAATTTATCTCTAAACCTGGCCCTCCCAATGTTCACAATCAGTAAATTCTATCCCCCAAAATAAAACTGAAAACCTGGACAGCACATTTCTTCTCCTTGCTCCCCATGTTTAATCCATCTGCTACTCTTTTCAGTTTTACCTCCAGCATATATTTTGTTTTTGTAGACCTCTCTCCTCTTAGGCAGTGCTAACTTTCTAATTGAAATCAAGACTTCTTATTTGATGTTCAGACTTTCAGTCTTTTCAATGTGGAAAAACACAATAAACAATAAATCAACCATTATTAAACAACCAAATATATCAACAAATGAGTATAAATGCTGTAGAAATATAAACACTCTTCTGTTCTCTATTCATTTCAATCCTCCACCATCACTGTCCTGCAGCATAGGGCATACCTATTAACCAGTTATATGCTAGAGTAAATTTTTAAAAATACTAAGATTTAGAGGAAAGTGATCAAGGGGTAGAAACTTCCAGTTATTAAGTAAATACTAGAGATGTACAGCATGAAGACTGTAGCTAACACAGCTGTGTGGTATATAGGAAAGTTGTTCAGAGTAAGTCCTAAGTTTCTCATCTCAAGGAGAAAATTTCCTTCCTGTGTTTTTGTCTTATTTCTTTTCCTTTTGTAACTGTATGAGATGGTGGATATTTGCTGAACCTACTGTGGTAATCATGTCACAAATATATGACATCAAACCATGAGTCCTTAAACTTACACGGTGATGCATGTCATTTCTCAATAAAATTGAAAAAAGATATTAAGCTGAATATATGAATCCTTTAATTAAAAGTCTTTAGAGTTGGAAGATTTCAAACTTTCTCGGAATTAGGTTCCCCTCTTACCATGGACTGGAATTCTTGCATGATATTACCACAGTCTTACTTTGTAACTTCGTTTCCTGCCATTTTACTCTAACTCATCATGTTTCATAGTCTTTTGTGTTTCTAAACTTTTTCATGACCTGGGAGGGAGCTTGGCAGTTGCTGGTAACCTCTATATAAAAGTTCTTTTCTAGACTTTGTGTGTGCATCTGACTTACTTGTATCCCTTAGTGCTACTGTGTAGCAATCATCTCTTTAATTATTGATTTATTTAAATGGTAGCACTAAGGTTTATTAAAAAGTGCCTTAGTACAGGTACTGGGGCTTGCCGATGGTGCTCTTGATGCATACAGCCTGGACACTTTGCCATTTCTTCTTGAGTAATGACAATGAGAAGTTGATAGCTAAGTGGCTATTGTATACACGCTCCTCATCTGTCATCTTCAAGTGCCCAACAGCCACTGCCAGACATAGCAACTTCTTCATTTGGAACTTGATAGTGGACTTTACTTCATCAACTTTGGCCACCATGTTCTCATTGTGAGTCAACAAGAAAGGGAACTTGCCAGCCTTATTTAGGCCTGGGCCCAGGATTTGTGGGATCTTCTTGATCAGAGACTCAGACACTAAAAAGGCATCATAGTTTTTGGCCAGTTTCTTGACCAGCTCCTTATTTTTGTTGATTTTCTCCAGTGCCTCAGTGTCCATGTGGGGGATATCCAGAGCCTTGGCCTCCTCACAGTGCTGCTGGTTCCCCCAGAACACACATGGAGAACTTGGGACAGGGCTGGACTTAAACCCAGAGGGTCTATATTCACCAGCAGCTAGTCTAGCTTCTCAGACTAGCCATCAGTCTCAGCCAAGGCCTCTTTTCTTCTTCTTTTTTTTTTAAAGATATCTTTATTTATGCATATAAGAACTGGGGTATGGGCCAGAGGTATGGAGGGGTGAGAGGATTCACCAGAGACAAAGTAGGGAATAGAACAGGCAGATTGACTGAAATACGTTGCTGAGGGTAGCATCGAGTGAGACAGGAAAGGTCTGCTAAGTCATGTGGGTCAGCTCCCTGTCTGGGGATCAAGCTCCTGCTACAGTGGCTGGTGATAGCTTGATAGTGCTGAGACTTAGCCCCATGAGCCACCAGCGAGGCGCCGTGTCCTCTCTTGTTTCAAGGCCAGAGTGGGGAATCTATCCAGCCCTGCTTACCCCAGTTTGGAGGTCCGAACTGCCTGTGCACCTCAGTGCCGCACAGGCTTGCTTGCCCCAGGCTGATCAGAAGCCTGAAGGGAGGAGATGGACATGGGGTCACTGAGGGCTGGATGCAATCATCTCTTTAAAATGGGCTTTTTAACCATCCCTTATAACCACAGCCTCCTGGCTCCCTTCACACCAAGTGTAACATCAGTTCTTTCTTTTGTGATATTGATGTTGATGTATGGTTATCTTGTCATCGTTAGTTTTTTGTTTACTGTATCTGCATGAATGTAAGTTCTGAGGTCAGCTCTCATCTCCCTTTTCACCATTATAATCCCTTGCATATAATAGGTACTTGACGAATATTTCCTGGATAAATATATTAGCTAAGTGGTATCTTCTGTTTTCCAGGTTATTGAAATATAACTGACATAAAACATGAAACATTATATAAATTTACGGTATACAACTTGGCAATTTGGTGTACATACATACCTATTGTGAAATGAAAAGCATAGTAAGGTTAGTTAACATGACTATTACATCAGATAATTATTTTTTTGTGTCTGTGTAGGACATTTAAAATTTACTGTCAGCAACTTTCAAGTGTCCAGTCCCGGATTGTTAACTATTGTCACCCTGCTGCACAAATAGCTCCCTACAACTTACCTATCTTCTAACTGGAGGTTTGTATCCTTTGATTAACATTTCCCAATCTCTTACATTCCTGAACCTCTGGCAATCACCAATGTTCTTTGATAAGGTTTACGAAAGGGATTAGTAAAATGGCAGTCCTTATTTGGTTTCCAGTTTTGAGTTACTTAAAAGCATTCCATAAAAATGCAAGCGTGTGTGGACTCTTGAGTTAAACAAGATTGGGTTTTCATTTCTCATGGCACTCACTGTGTGACCTTGAATATATTACCTAACCTCATGATCCTGTTCCTCTGATTCACATACAATTTTGTAAAACAGAATTACTTAAAAAAAAATTACTTTCTACATATAAATAATGGTAAAAACATTAGTGGTTCATCATAGGTTTGTGGTGACCAATAATTTAGATTAAATGATAGGGGAAATTATTGTAACACAGTGTCTGGCACATAGGAAATATCCCCAAGATATTAGGTATTATTATCATCCCTTATTTTGTAGTGTTTAGGAGCACTGCATAAAAAAGAAGTACGCTGTCCTTGGCTTAAAGGAGCAAGATGTCCCAGTTTAAGAATAAGACTACAGTGAGATTTCTATACTTTGAAGAAGTTTGTCATACATGTGATGACTACATTTGTCTTTAAATAAGTTGTTGAAATATCACATGGAACATATACAAAGTAAGGCTCAGAATATAATTTCTGAATATATACTGAATACATTCATAAAAGCTAATGGATCATCTTCATTTGCCATCATTTCTGTTTTCTTTCTTTTTTAAAAAAAAGATTTATTTATGCATACAAGAACTGGAAAACAGGCCAGGGGTGTGGGGGGTAAGAGGATTCACCAGAGACAGAGTGGGGAACAGAACAGGTGGATCTACTGAAATACAGTGTTGAGGGGAGCAGCAGGCAAGTCAGGAGAGGTCTGTTGCGTAATGTGGGTAGCTCCCCGGCCGGGGATCGAACTTGTGCTGTAGTGGCTGCGCACAGCCTCATAGATTGCGTTTTAACCCCTTGCGCCACCGGGGAGACCCACAATTTCTGTTTTCTCTGAACTTTTTATAGTATAATTTGGTATGAATGTCAGAGAAGCTTTAAGTTCTCTGTTCCCTTTAGTTGTTCCCACCTCCTGCCAAAGTCCGGGTCATACAGAATTGCTCTTAATAATTTATTTCCTAAGTCTTTGCCCAAACTTGTTTTATGAGAATTCAGGTGATATGACTGCAGCTTCTCCTTTGGAAGCCAGCTCTGTGTCCCAACAGCTCGCTCAGTCAGCAAGGATTACCTGACACGGTACCTTCATTTTCTCTTTCATAATACCATCCTATTACTCTTAGCTAACACCCTCTGCATTATCCAGAGTAATTCGTTTCTTTCCTTGATGTTTGCACCCTTCAGGTATTAGTGGACTGTTATCATAACCCCCCCTCCTTTAATTGTCACTTAGTCAGCTTTTACATATTTAGTTCTTTTCATCTTGCCCAGTAAGTCCACCGCCCCCCAGGCCTGTAATCACTTTGTTACTCTTCTTTGAGCCTTTTCCAGTTTGTCTGCCTCTTTCTGAAATGAGGCTCCCAGAAATGACTGCATCATTACAAATATATTTTCTGCAGAGCTCTCTGGAATCACAGAACTGCTTGGTTGGAGAAATGCTACCATGCTGAGCCAACTTCAAAATGAGATGGTGCATCTAAAGCTTGTGTTGCATTTGACGTTATATTTGCTTGTGTACCTGAGTAATCTCCTTGCCAGATTTCAAGTTCCTTGAGAGAAGAAAAAAAATGCACAATTTACTTTTTTTGGTTGAATAAGTGTGTTCAACCTCGACTGCACATTAAAATCACTTGGTAATTTAAAAAAAATTACTAATATCTGGCTCCCATCCCCAGGCATTCTAAGTTACTTGGTATGGTATGTGAGCTGGCTGTCAGAAGTTTTTAAAACTCCCCAGGTCATTTGAATATGCAGCAAAGTTTGGGAACTAATGTCTTAAACAACAGGTGTTTAGTAAATATACCTAAGGTAAGTGACAAAAGAATACTGTATTATGTTTTCTTTAACTAATATTACTTATGTTTTCTTTAATATCTCCAGTGGTCATTTTCTCCCAGCATCCTGCTACTATTATTTATCTATGTTTCCTATTGATACTTCAAATTTTTCCACTTGGTAAGTGGTTTTTTTGGCCAGAATTTCTAGAAGCCTCGGAGGAATTGTATCATGTGTCTGACCTCTCTGTTTTCTGACAGTCTTCTCAGTTTAATAGCTCTCTCATGTTTAAGCATCTCATTCTACATCCTTCCATGTGCTTGGGAATGCAATAAATCAAAATTTCCCTTCCTCTTGTGTTTCTACTCATGCATTTCTATAGCACGTGTCAACCCAGTGAAAACCTAGTATATTTAAATGGATTCAACTTTTGCAGTGATTCTTCTTAGCAATTTTTGATCCAAGAACAGCATGTCTATCCAGATAAAATTAAGTAATTCATATTAGATAACTTTTGAGGGCACAGTTTAGCATACTAATAAATATGTCAATTCAGCAGTAGATTTTAAGTTTAGTAGACTGTTAAGAGCAATTTTAGGTTTACAAAAACTTGAACAGAAAGTACAGAGAATTTACATAAATACTCTGCATATGCACTTTATCTGGGATCAAAGTTCAAGCATCATACATGGAAATGTCTTCTAGATGTTTGGTAATGCTTTTAAATAGTAATACTGCATGGGGAATAATTAAACTAGGTAACGAGAATGTGAAACTGCATTGTGCTAGAGTTTTAATGATAATGTTAAAAAAATGAGGTTTGTCTGTCCTGGTTTGGAGTTTATTCTTCTTCACATAGGCCTTCAAATATTTTTACTTTTAACAATCAAAAAGAATACATACAAAATGCAGCTCCCACACTAAGACTGTACTAAACCAGCATTCTCATGCTTAGAAGCCTTCTTTTTAGTGACGGCCAAGATGCTGAAAGACAAGTCTCTAGAATCGTGAGGCTGAGTGAGCAACACCAAAGGGACAGCTTGTGGGAACAAGCGTCTGACCTTCAGTAACTACATACTTTTATCTTTAGCACTGTGGAAATTCTTTTTTTGAAGCTTGTGCAAGATTGAAAGGCCCGCAGGTAGCTCTAATTCATGGTTTCTTTGTCTTCTCCATCTTGCATATATCAAACATGGGAAACCTGAAAAATCAAAGAAAATAGTACACTTCTCTGTTTTTAAACTCAGTTATAGTAATTTGTTTGAGGTCCAAGAAAGATCTGAGTTTGCACTAACCCCAGTAATGAGCAGAATACAGAGAAGCGAGTCCTAAGAGCACTCATTCAGCTGCTCATAGAACCAGATAAATGATATTCAGAGTTAATGCTCCGAGTAATCAGTTGTCCAGTTACCATCATTTTACAAAAGGGAAATAATACAGACTGGGAGAATGACATCTTTATTAAAGCCTATGAAGCATTATACAGTAACTTTCCTGTGGCTAAAATTCAGTTTTCCTAGCATTTCCATTAGTCTGTCAGGTATATATCTACATGTCTTTTATCAAACAGTAAAACACACTGAAAGTGCTCACTCACGCTTGCGTATGTGCGCTCATGCTCATTCTCCTCTCTTTCTCTCTCTCTCTCCCCACCACCCAAGCTAACTGCTCAACTTTTAACAAGTGAACACAGAAGACTCCATTCTTTGTCTTAATATTGTACTTCATCATGAACCCCAGGCAATGAAACAAGAACAAGAATGAAAAGAAAATTCTTTAAACACAGTCAGTTCCTTAATGGAAAATGGAACAGGTTTAAGATCAGATCAACATCACAGTTAAAGTTGCTTATTAATTGTAGTTTATATTTATTATATTATATTTACATATGCAAGAGCTTGTAATTCACTTCTGTTATTAATTTTAGTTA